GAAACCAAATTCAAGACGTACTTTGGAAACTTAGTAAACTATTCTATATTCGTGAACCATCAACAATCAACGTCACCCTCAACCATGTGATTGAAATTAATAAATATCGACCATTTACACTTCACCTTACCGACGTTCACTTCCAGATTACCAAGTAATTGCCTGAGAAGCCGACAAGTAATTAAAACAACAAAGAACTGAACTACCGACATCACCTTGGTGCTCATCTGTTATTCTAATGCGTAAAAAAGACGATAGCACGTGATTTCATGTTGACTATCGCAAATTACATGATATTACTATCAAACATTTATTGCCGTTGTCTTCTATTGAAGATATCTTCGATTAACTGTCTCAATCAACATATTTCACAACGGTCGACTTTGAAAACGGATATTTTCAAATTCCACTAGCACTGCCAGATCATCCTAAAAGGGCATTTTCCACACATGATAATCATTATCAATTTACAATTCTTCCTCAAGATGTAAAAAATGATCCACCGACGTTCCAACGAATTGCCAACCTATTTTAGGTCCAGCTCGATAGAAACATCGCCTAGCTTATCTAGATGACGTTGTTATTTTGTCGAAAACATGTGACCATCATCTTTCTCATTTGGATGAAATCTTACATGTACTTCTATGTCAACCACATCAAAAGAGATCTTTCGTTTTCTAAAAAGCTAAAGAATATTACCGGAAATTTATTCCAAACTTTTCTCGTATTGCTGATCCTCTATACAAATATAACCTTTTCAGTTATAAACACACACCAGGTGTGAAATCCACAATGGTCAAATTGTCCACTAAAGAATAAACTGCTTTTGAACAATTAAAGCATATTCTTACTAAGGATCTTGATCTTCGACTTCCCAACAAGCAACTTCCTTTCAAAATGCAAACGAAGGCTGCACAACTTGGCGTCGGTGCTATTTCACTACCAACACACCCTGAAGGCGAGCGTCCTGTATAAAACATGACCAAGAAATTTACATCTATTCAACAACGTTGGTCTCAGATTGAACAAGAATGTCGGATTATTTATCTTGATCATCAGTTGACCAAGTTGAAGATGGCATGGACGATGAAGTTCGTTCGACTTTTATTACTACCACTACTCAAACTGATACATTTGATACTAATCTCCTCCTGGCATCATCATTTGTTGACATGGTCACTACTCGTTCTCGTGCTCGACTATTGTCACTTTCTGATAGTCGCATTGCGACGTCACCAACCACTGATCATTGTGTCACGCCACACATCAACAACCAACCTCATCTACTCCTACAATTGTTATTGATGATTCATGAGTTGAATATACTGATGATGTCAATCAATCGGAAATCGCACAACAATAAGACATCGATCTACAACACATAAAGAATAATCTTACCGATAAAAAGTACATTAACTCCTATCTTTTGCAAGATGACATCTTGATGCACCACAAACTAGATAGCAAACCAGTTCCATGCGTTCCAAAAGGAAAAATTTCCCATAACATTATGACACTACCATGATACTCAAGCAAATGGCGCACACTTCCGTTATGACAAAACTATCCAGAAAATCAAAGTTCGATATTATTGGAATGGGATTCCGGAACTTCGCTAATAAGACTTTCGCCAAATAGGACTCTCGCCAATGGCGAAGGTCCACTGTACTTTCGCCAGTACAACTCCTGGACTTTCGCCGCTATATCCTTTGGAATTTCGCCAATTGATGAAAGTACAGTGGGCTTTCGCCAATTTGACTGCGAACTAGATATAGATGCGAAAATTTCTGTCGGCTATATTGATGAGTGTAAGCTATGATAAACATTCTAACAACATTAGCTCCAGCTAGAGCCCGTTGGATCTACTGCGACCCGAACCCAATCGGTTGCGGGGCTGAAAGCTTTGTAATCACTGAGTTCGTGTCCGGGTTCGGAAAATTTTACTGATCGGATCGAGATCCAAAGAAATATCTCATGTATATAATAATCTTTTTGGAATTTCTTTCAATTTTTCTCTTAAAAGATTCATCAATCGGGTTCGGCTCCAGAAATGCTTGAATTCGACAGACTCTAACTTCAACTCTTACATGTACCCTGTATTAATATTATTTCGTGGCAATTGGGGAAAGTTTACTGTACTTTCGTCAATTGGCGAAAGTCCACTACACTTTCGCCAATACATTCCCTGGAATTTCGCCAATTGGCGAAAATGCAGTGGACTTTTGCCAACACACCCATCAGAATTTTGCCAATTGGCGAAAGTCTTATTGGCGAACTTCCGGTAACCCATTGGAATACCATGAACACTGATATTAGTAATTACGTTAAATCATGTATCCATTGTCATTAAAACAATCCTATTTATCGCAAACCTGCTGGTCATTTGAAACCGATCGAAACACCTGAAGCTGTTTGGCAACTATTGTCACCAGACTTTCATGGACTCATTCTTCCTACTAGCCGACGTGGTAACACGTACATTATTTCTGTCACTGGCGTTCTATTAAAAGTTGTTATTGTCAAGCAGTCCGTGATTGCAATGCCGATACTACCGCTCGATTTCTTCACGAAGAAGTTATCTGTCGTCTAGGTATTACTCATCTTTACTCTGCACCATGTAATCCTCAAATTAACGGTCAAATTGAATAATTTAATGAAACTATGGATGCAAAAAAACTGCCACATTATCTAATTAATGTCAATTCGATTGAGATGACCAACTTTCATTTGTCGTCTTCAATTACAATACAACTTCTCATTTCACCACCAAAACAATTTCATTTGAACTTATGTATGACCGTTTACCTGTGTTACCGTTTGATCTACAAATCCTAGTCGTTTTCCTTCAACAGCCCTCACAACATGATCAGAAAGTACGTCAATACTAATCTCGATTCGATACGCAGCATTCATATCCCAGATATGGCATCAACGATTTAGTTCTTATTAAAAATATTCATCCACGTAATAAATTTGATGCTCGATATGAAGGTTCATTTCGCATCATATTCCGTCTGGGTGTTAAAACATATACTGTTTAACATATCAAGTTACTGAATTTAGTTCGTAAAGTGGCAATCGACCTTCTCATTCCATTGTTCGACAAGCAACCATTGATGTGAGTCTATCGATTCATATATTCTGTTTTTCACCTTATACAGTTTCATATTCTTCTTATCTACATTCTTCATTTTGCAAATTTTTTTCTAACGCCTTCGACTCTTATTCGACTTTTTTTATCCGCTATTTTTGCCTGATAAATACTTTCTGTAATCGCCTTCTCTTTCTTTTTCCAAAATATCGTTCATTCTTTTTGGTTATCAATGCAACACTCCACATTCATTCTTGTCAATTTTCTTTTTCTTACATTGTCGATGTTCATGGATATCGTGTCAAACTACTTTTAAATGCAAAAGTGCATTCTCGTATCGATGTTCTAGAACAATCTCACGCCGTACACCATAATGATGCTAACTGGCTACGCAACATTTTCTTCGACACGGCTATTTCATTCATCACCTTTTCTTTTTTTATGTCACCGACTATGATTCAACTTACGTCGACGACAAACACCTGCTCTTACGGTCATCGAAGCATCTGGCTTAACACAACTGCATCCAATGGCGAACTTTCTTATAACTACCCTACAGTGACTTGATCCTATATGTAACACATATCTCAAATATACGGCTTACATCAACCACCGTCATCCTCCCCACACTATTGCCCATCTCCCGCTTTGACTCTGTCCATTTCTGCTGCACTTCCGTTGTCATTCCTCAAATTCTAATATACTTACAATTTTTCAACTATGGAAATCGTGTTCTTTGTCTTTTTTATGCTATTACACTATCGAGTTTTGCATTTTTATTCGTTTATTCTCTTGCTCTTATTACTCTCTTCATATCAGTATTTTTATCAGTTTTCACCATCTTTTCTTTTCTCTTTCTCTTCTTACTTTTACTTTCGAATGTGAGTGGACCCACAGTTTCATCGGTGGGAAGGCATGTTACAGGCATATATCTTATATACCTTCACATATTCTATTCTTATCGACATCTGTTTGAATTGGTTCAAATTTTTTTGATCCTTTATTTTTTCCTTCATCGCGATGCTCTCTCTCTCTCTCGCGTAGCTTTATTCGAAATAAAAAAGAACATCAAGCAGGCAAAAAGGGATCTTTTAATAATGGGAAACACAGTAAAAAAATCGATTTGAACGACAAAAGACTTCAATTGCACTTTCCCGAACATAGTTCTGAGAAAATCGCTGTAACCATTCAGTGAAGAAGCCAAAAGCAAACCCGCGAGTATCATTGTTTTCTTATTTCATACACATTGATAGAACGCTATTATCAAAGATTTGGTTTTTTTCGTTTCTTCTAAGGAGATGTGCGTGTATCGAATAATTAAGTTATGTGAATATAACAAGTAATGGACAAAACTATGTGCAATCGTTAACACATTTCGCATGTATTTGCTTCATTATGAGGAAAGTACTAGGTGCGAGCAAGGTAATCAATAAAAGTGTGGGTGTGAGTGTGAGTGTGAGTGTGGGTTAGTGTGAGTGTGAGTGTGAGTGTGAGTGTGGGTTAGTGTGAGTGTGAGTGTGAGTGTGAGTGTGAGTGTGGGTGTGAGTGTGAGTGTGAGTATGAATCAAGCGAAGACTCGAACTCGCAACCCACACCCACATCCTACATCCTCTAGTTTCTTTCTTTTCTAGATTGTAGACACGATATGTTTATGAATTCTTATAGAAATTTGTATATTTCATTGTATTCGACGTATGAATGCACAAAAACAAATGATAGAGACAATGTCTCGTGGGAAGGATGAAAGTACAAGTTGACATAATCTATTTTGATATTTCAGAGAGGTTAGTTTTTGTAGAAACCAGTTTAAGTTTTATTCATGCATGAACACGAAATTTTACAATAAAGAACTCGTGCGCTTTCAGCTCATGATTATCTTTCTATATTCTACCATGTTGATGCACTACTATCAGTATATTTGTATACGTCTGATTGATGTGTCAATTATCCACAGATCGCTTTGACCAGGTCTGCCAGATGCATGATGTCTTTCACGTGCTTTTATAACATGTTCCAATGCTAAATCATTCTTTATCAGAATTAGATAAACCGAACCAAGGCTACTATAAGTTAACGCTAGATCTCGATAATTTGATGGTAATGATTTTTCACGTATTTCTAATGCTTGTTTCATAAATTGTAAACCTTCTTCGAACTTTTTTAATGCAACATAACATTGTCCCATTTGAAATAATGTACGTTCAATATCTGGATGATCACTAGGTAATTGTCGCTTTTGTATAGCTACTGCTGTTTCATAATTAACTAAAGCTAGATCGTCACGTTTATTTTCCATGTTTGTATGTGTTCTTAGTATATAAACATCACAGTTTTTATTTTTATCGAATAACTGACTCTGTGCTGCTTCTAATTTTTGAATTAATTTTGGCTCTGTAATTGCTTTTGTTGGATTTTGTAAACTTTGCATTGTATCCGTTAGATGTTTTTGTTCAAGTCCACTATACTTTTTACGATTGACAACTTTACTTAAACCAGCATGACATAATACAATATCTTCTGGTCTACCACGATATTTCAAATGTAAATTGAAATATCTTTCACTTCGATCATAATCACCAAGACGATAGAATAATTCGGCAAGATTACAATAGGTTGGATTTTCATCAACAATTTCTTTTTCTACATGTTCATATAATTGTCTATAATCTTGATCATTTTCATTACAAGCATTCAATGATATTATCAAAAGCTTTCCCGTATCATTTAATTCAACATTAACAATTCGAAAGACATTACCCAGCATAAATCATGTTTCATTTTCATCTTTGTGATCACTTAATTGACTACTATCAGCGTATGGTTTCAGATTTTTAACATTTCTATCAATAGTAATTTCGAACAATGTTGCTATAAGATCATCGCTACTTATACCTGCAAATCCAAATGCAACTTTACGATTTACATTAGTTAATAGAAATGAATTAATTGATAAGAATTCACCTTTTGAGTTTTGTAAACGTTCAAATTCTTTTTTACTAATTTTTTGTGTATGATAAAATATTAGTTTTTCATTAATAGTAGTAAATGTAGTTCCAGAAATATTTTTCTTTTAATAAACATTTATAGATATCTGATAAAAACCAACTAAATGCCATTATTAAATCGGCCTTCTTCTGATGTAATGCTTTATTGAATAGACGATAGAGACTTGTTTTTCGTGTATACCATGTAATAGCATCATCTGGAGAATATGTTTTTTCAAACGATTCTAATATACGTAGTTCATCTTTATCATTTTTATAAAGACGTTTGCAAAATTCAATTAATACATTCAAGGCAATGGGGCCCATCGGTGGACCCCACTACAGAGCGGCCCAAAAGTTCCTTTAGCGCAGAAAAACTTGAATATCTCTACTATATTTTGACCAAAGGGACTTATTCTTTTACCATTGATAAAGGAATGTTCATAAATCATATCCATAAGAGAAAAATTGACAAAAGCTGTTTTGAGGTATTACAAATGTCATGAATAAAGACGTGGAGCCTTTCACGAGTTATGAAAAAACAATAGTCATATCGCCGCCAATGTGTTAAGTAATAGCAATAATATATCTAAACTAAAGAAATGCGGGTGTGTGTGACTCAAGAGAAGATCCACACACCCACTCGCTTTCCATTCTTGAGGGTGAGGATGAGGATGAGGATATGGGAGCAAGTTTGATTACACAATGATAACACATTTTTCTTCTTTTGTATTCTCTTAAAAGATTTTCTCTCTTGATAATTCTATATATTGATACATTCTATCATTTTGATCGTTTTCACTTTGACTGATAAGCGCAACTGCTTAAGCAAGAAGAAATGATACCGCTCTTTGTGAAAAATCCTTTTTTCCGTTCCTATCTCACTTAACTTCACATATTACAATGCGCACTGCTACATAGTACAAGAAGAAGCATACAATGTGCCTCGCAAATATTCAAGCTAAGAAAAAAACCCATACTTATCATGTTTTTTTCTTTCTTTCCTTATCTAAATAACAGTAACGGGGAATAATGTGATTAAAAAATACATTCACACATCTTTTAAATTTATGAAAAATGCAGCAAGAACAGTCATCATCACTACCATCTCATGGTGAAGCCCATAATTCTGACTCCAAATTAACCGAAAAAGATTTTGAACTCATTGAAGAAGCGAAACGCACCTCATGTCGTCTCCACAAACCGCACTATCATGTTGTCGTTGGTGCACTACGCACTTCTGCACCATCTAACAAAATTTACACTGGTATTCACATCGAATCATCACAACCGTTATGTGGTGAGGTGAGTGCTGTGTGCTCAATGATTAACGATGGACGAGAGATGAGTGAACTAGATACAATTGTTGCACTGGCTGGTGATGACACGGATAAGAACGAGTTTAGACTGTTCAGTCCGTGTGGCAGATGCCGAGAGTTGATTGGCGATTGCAATCGCAAGGCAAGAGTCATTGTGGGCACGATGGAGCAACCGTATGTGATGAGTATTTCACAGCTGATGCCGCTGAAATGGATTGATGTTGAAAATGAATACTGGGCGAAACGAGCTGAATCTAAGCAGTGAACAGTGGAACTTTCTAAGTATCATCTCATTGATCAACATTTTTTTGTTTCGAGTTCATATTTACATAGGGATTCTTTTTAATTAAAATTTATAGTTTCAACATTAAAACCTATTAAATAGATTCTAATGGCTGGCTAGATAAGAAAGGAGACAAATATCTCCGTTTATAACCGAATTCATTCACCTTGCTTATCTATTCGTACATGAAAACGGGTTAGGTCAGGCGTCAGAAGCTAGCTAAATTGTGGTGACTGTTTAATTAATGAAGTGTCTGAGAGACCTGAAAAAAAGCACTGCAGCGCTTTTCTCTTTCTTAGGAAAAAAACATAAAACTAATTAGGAACAGTCGTGGGTGTGCGCGAATTTAAAGCACAGCAACACCATCTCACATTCACACGCTGTATTCATCTCAGAGGAGTTTTATTCGTGATGAGACTGTCTAGCTTCAACTTCGTTTCTCTTTATAAGAAAGGTTTCTTATGTAAAAGAACAGAAAACCCGTTATTTCAACTCAAAATATGCGCTGTAATGTATTTTAATTCATCTCATCCAACTGTTTCAAAATTATTGAATCGATAAAAATTCGATTAATCTAGCGAAAAAAAACTAAAATCAATTGCAATCTATCGTCAAAGCAGAACAATGAGTTTTCAATTCAAATCTCGCAAAGAATCCGTCAATTTTATCTTTTTTAAATTTTACTCGTGAAGAAAACTGCTCAAAATATAGTTTAAGTTCTTACGGTCGCATCGATAGTGAATGGAGTTCGTTTAGATAAGTACTTTTTACTATAAGTCTACTGCAAATAAACTTATAAAAAAATAATACAAATGATTGTCGTTATATATACGTATATACGGGCTCTCAAGAATTTATTGGAATAGCAATGATAGATTTCATGTATCGGAAATTCATAGATTCAAGCATATACGATCCATTGTTCGTAACCATACAAGGTATGTATAACGTTAGAAAATGTAACTGCCACTTTATTGAAAAATTTTCAAATGAACTTGAACAAGCTTCTATTTTTTTATTATGCTTTTGATACAAAATTTTTCCTTCAACACACAATGAGAAATAGGAATTCACTTGAACCTAATTACTACACTTATGGTATAAATAGTTTTTCGACTATGACCACATCTTGGCGCGGTTAACAGAATGTTCGAATCGCATCTGATCGCAACCGAGAAAAACAATGTTTTGGTATGCGTTTGGCCGAATTTCACCATTCATATTCAGACGCACTTCATACAAACATGCTTTTGGATACACCCTACGTGGAAATGAGCAAGTCATAAATCTGTGTCTCACCTTTACCCATATCACATCTCAATTTACATAATCGCATATCCAACTGAGAATCATAAAATCATGTTTACTAATTTCTATATCATCTATGCATGTGAACAGTTACGGAGAAGTTAAACGTATTTGACAGAAGTTTTTCACATAATCATTGAACACAGATTTAATACGATTATTAAAAACATACGAAATTAAAAATCTGCAAATACAAGGGTGCTCAACAATAGTAGTTTATAATAAATATAAATTATTCATTAAACATTATTGGTCACTTATGATGTGATTTCTTTGTACTATTTATTTATGAGCTTCAAGCTTTTTTGTTATAGGTTCAATGATCGAAAAGTGATAATGATAACCCATTTGTTTATTTTATTGTCAAAGAAACATGATTCCATCGAAAAGTAAAAATGAAGTCAAAGTACATGTTCTTCTTCATCAAGCTCTGAATAAAGTGAAATATCATAACCATCAGATTCACCTATTTCAATGACAAAAAGAACCTTACCAAATTGTTGAGCTTTTTCTCTATTACGACTTGTTGATGTAAATACAGGAAATTGACCATAATTACGATCTGCTTTTAAAAAAATAGTGATTCGTTGATATTGCTCGATCTGTTCGGATGAAAAATTGGTGCCACGATAAACAGTTCCCTTTTTGGTAGCAGTTAAGACAAAGGGATCTTTTTGTAAGTTAGAAAGTAGACAAGCAAAAGGTCTAGTAGTAAACAGTTTAATCTGCGAAAGAGCTTGATATTTTTCATCTGTCCCTAGTCGTATTACTTCATTCATTTTCTTATAAAGAAAAGATTCCATGCAGCAAAGACGAGTACAACACTTTGCTACTTCATATTGGTTTCCATCTTGTATTTTGAGTAACTGTTCAGCCAGGGTGAGTGTGGATGTGGATGAAGTTTAAGATTATATCTACACCTACTATCCACACCTACTACATACCTTTGGACACATTGAAATCGTGCACGCCTATTTTTGAATAAAAGTAGAAAAATCATTATAAAAGAATTCCTACGACTGACATTATTATTAATTAAATATATTTTCTTTAAAATATAAATATTAAATATTTTTCTAAAACAAATATGATATTAAAAGCTATGAAAAGTTTTTTGAACGACTGATATCAAGCAGCCGTATCGTTTAAATGTGTTTCTTCATAATGAGCAAAACTATTTATTTTGAATGATTTACAACGAATATTTGTTCACTGTTTAAACAGACTTAGATCAATAATAATTAACTGTTAAAGCTGTTTCACATATCAAAAAAACAACCATTTAAACTGGTAGACACTAAAAGTTCAATTATGTAAACGAACAAAACGTGTTAAACAACTAAACGCTTTTTAATGTGATAAACACGTTATTGAGGATATGCCACATATTTTTTTTAAAATTCCGACAATTAACTGCGTTCCTCAATGTTATTTTATTCAATGAAAAAATGAAAATGATAGAAAAGAAATACATCAAACTTACTTCTTGTCATATTTTACTTTATTGTTTGACTTATCAAAAAGTGATATCTGCTTTGTGCATACTTGCAGTTCGATGCTCATTTTTTCACATAGCATTTCCAGAATAACCTCTAGAATGCAGCTCATTCGAACAGATATCGAAACCACATCCCATGCATTTGATTCTGATCGATTTACAACTTAGTTAAGGTGAAAGAAGTACAATTACACCGCAGCTATGCTACAAAAACTGTAATTTTATGTATCTTTCTGCGACCAATGCCAACATTCTCTCTTCGTCTGCAAGATCAAAAGATTTCCAACCATGCACAATTCGAATATCAGATTTCGGGAGATCTGATAGTATCGATTAACGGGATACCACGGAAAAATACGAATGCTGTTATTTTGCAGACTTTTCATATTTCTAAAGGTTTAAATAGCTTTTAATTTCGTTCTATTGCACTTCTTTATTCGCAAAGTTTCAAAACACCATAGATGATACACAAGAAAGAAAGGTATTTTATGCAGCAACTCCTTTTCTGAATACATATTTACTGTTTGAATGAATCTCTAACAGCAGGACTTCGACATGAGCTTTATTTGTTGGAATAACATACAAAATGGAATTAAATCTAAGAAAACTGATTTGAAAGATGTGTATGGTATATATGGCGTATATCTGCTAATGTATGTTTATGTTGTTCTCTATTCTGCAAACCTATAGAAGAGCTCAAAAGACTTTAACCATCAAGTCTAATTCTAGTGAGTTTAAAGCTAAGAAATCTGACCCCCCTCAACCATGTATGAAACACGGAAATCGCTAATCTGAACAAAAATTGAAACTTTGAACGAAGAGGGGAAATTTAATCAGCTGAAATTTCAATAATAATATTTCCTAGGTGTGATTAATATTCATGAAAATTCCAGATTAATAAATTGTTAGAGAGCCAAAATCGATTTCGATGCATGCAGTAGAGGACGCTTCATCATTCTACAGTTCGACAACTTTCGTAACCAATTCAATGAAGACAGCGAGGCTATCATCATTGGTGTTTACAGTATAGGTATAGAAAAATATACACTCAGTGTATTGACAAACACGTACACATAATATATTACAAAACACATGTCTTCGGCAACAGGTAAACGTTATGATTGGAAAATTCTGGCCCTGGGTCGTGGTGTTGGTACAGCAACCAAAGCTGAAGAATACTTAAAGTCACTCGGTTATAAAAATATTACCGTTTATGGTAATGTAGAAAATAGCAAAGATGGCGATGAAAAGATTATCACTTTACTCCAACAGACTGATTGGGATGCTGTATCCTTTGGTAAGAGTTTTCATCTATAATATTTTTAAAAAATCAATTTGTGATAAACTGTTAAGGTGGAGGCCTCACCGGCTATGATGATCACTTCCCACGTGAAATTACTACACTGCATTGGTTTAATCGTCTCGTTAATTTGGTGCATCAATATGTACCCAAAGCTAAATTAATCTTTGTACACTCACCGAATAGTATTGTTGATGGCATTCATCGAGTTCTCGATGAACATCATGAGTAACGATGATCAGTCAATATTTGTGTTGAGCATCGAACGATTTTCAGCATGCGTTTCTATTATGCATTTTTCTACTAAATTTTCTCTTCGTCTTACATTTACTTACTTTATTATAGTGGTCTCACATATGAATACTTTCAAAACAATTTAAAGGCATCTACTGAATAATATACACCAGAAAACATAAAAGAAATGATACATGGCATTTATTTTCTTAGCTATTCAAGCCTATGAATCTAATCTTAATTGTTGACTCAGGACAATACATATTAGAGAAACAATGTATCGAAATGACTTCTTTTTCTTACCTGTACCGAATACTTAACACTCTCACTCATAGAAAGCATACGTAAGTGCAAAGTTCACTTGTCATAGTATGCGACAAAACATTGGACAACGATTTAACTTAGTATAGTTTGTAATCAACAAGCATCAAGGAAGACACCAAGAGTATCCTTTGTATGTAAAATTGAAACAATATCGATTGGTTGATTTCAACATTCATCATTATTAAGAGTATAGGTCGTATTCGTTGGAAAAATTAAGAAAGCTTTTTGTAAACAATCTCAATAACTGGATGAAATGGACGCAAAATACCAGTTATATTTAATAAGTTAGGATGTGGATGTGGGGTGTGATTAAAATAGTGATCTTTTCACGACAAATGGCGTTTGTTTCTGTTTCGATTTGAAACGTTATCAGGTGAAATTTCTCAAATTTTTGGAAAATGATATCATATTCTTATCGAGTAGCTACAAATAGTAGAGAATCAATATAAATAACATCAAAAACTACTCTGATAAAATAATCATTTTTTATTACTTTTGCACATTGAGGACGTGGGTGTACATCTACATCCTCAAACTTATGAGCTGAAAATTGTTTTGATACTAAGCGTTAATGATATGAGCAAAATAAAAAAAAGATTATTTTCTCCCTTGATCTTGATCTTGAGAATCTATATTCATCATCATTGAATCAATATAATTGTTTTTTTTAAGGAGCAATTCACCATTATATAATTAACAAAGTCATAGATAAAAAATATAAAATATAAAAAATAAATCGTAGAGATGGAACTCTTCTTGTTGTATATATATATCACATATTTTTATCGTCATCAATCGTAGATAAGGTTTTGAGCATAGTCAATTCAGTAATATTTCGACAGATCTTGTTGAATTGAAAATAAATCTTATCATCCTGCATATAATTAAAGAGTAGATAAGTATCATGAATGAGATGAGTTGGAAATTGTGTGATTATAAAAATAAATGGAAATTAATCGTTAAATGACTTATGTAAATCCTGTTTATTGAGTTGACCCACAGTTTTCTGTGAACATGTGGATGAAGAAAAGACCTACAATCACTCATTCACACTCCAGTTTTACAAATAACACTATAATTAGAGTTCTCACGGTATTATTGTCAAAAATCACATTTACTTCTTTTTTTCAAATGAAAATGAATGAAAAAAGAAATATTTTTAAGGCCAAGTTTATCTGGAAAATGATTACACTCCTTAAATTTTAACCCTTCGACTTCCGGCTTTTTTTCGAAAACCCAGATTTCTATAAGAAATCTTTAAACACGATGTATTTTTTATTTTTTGAACGACACTGTATCTCTGTGTCAAGGATCCATTATTAGTTCATTTTCGTATGGTAGTCTTCAAGATAATCAACGATAAACAGAGGTGCATTGCTGCAAAGACACATATCTAGTATCATGTCGAAAACTATGAGATGTTCAAAGAATGAACTTTCTTTGAAGCTGTTTTGATTGTGATTTTTGTGTAGTCGGCGAAGGGAAATGTCAAGTAGTTAGAAAAAGGAGAGATCCTTTGTTAAAGGTCTTCCAATAGTAGCTGATGTGTATGATCCGTATTTTGAGGTTTATACTACATGTATTTGGAACAACGAAAGAGAATGTATGATTATTATAGCGACTATAAATTTCTAGGATGATTTCACCATAGTAGTCCGTAACTTAATAGATAAAACGCTTTTCTAAATAATCAAGAAATAAGCTAGTGACATGTTTGTTCAATAACACTATCTATACGTATTTATATATCGCTGATATTCTAAGCCAAAACATCGGACGTATATACACGTCGCCGGGACTCAAAGGGTTAATAAATGTTAAGATTTTGAAGTAAAATATTCCAAATAAAGTTTCACATGGAAAGAAGAACAAGATAGAAAAAAGTTACTATTACAACAATATTTTAAAACTGGAAAATGCATCTTACTCTTTAAGGAAAATATCATGTTCGCAAAAATTGAAATCTAATTATGCGATGGTCGTTTGCTCAGTTTTTTTCATCTTTTTGCTTCGAACAACAAAAGACGAAACAAATAGCCGTGATACTCGATAGTCCTTGGATAGTAATATATTCTCGGAAATTTAATATTAGTAGATCTATATAATTTGTTATTAAAACAAAAATATGTATTTCTGTATGCATGCATAAGAAAAACCTATAATCATGGTGTTTGAACAATGTCAATAAATGTTCGATTATTTTGAATCTATTAGAAATAAAACAAAATTCTCCTTTTTTTTTTATAATAAACATTCCTTGTTTTACCTGAAATTCAAGTTGTAATTCTCTATAATTAAAAATCCAAAATGGTGAATATAATGATAAACGATATGATGTATGAATTGCATCGACACGTAAAATCATTCTCTATTTAATTATTCAAATTATTAGTATTTTTAAAGTAAATTAAATTTGACTTCTTTACCAATATTTTTTTCAAAATTTGGAGAAGTAGTATTATGAAATAGGACAAAATATTCGTTATGGTCATTAGTTCTTTCAAATTTCGAACCAATTGAATCTGAAATCCCTTTTGTATTATCATATGATGGAATCTAAAAATTTGAAAACAAATTATTTTTAAGAAAAAAGAAGAGATGAAATAGTATACAATAAAAGTTAATGTCGAATTTTTGTTAGCAGATGTCATTGAACTTGATTGACTTGATTTTAAATAAATTTGTTCGACATTCTACAAAGTAAATATAAAGATTAAAGAATAAATTGAATATTTAACGCACAAAGAACAATAGAATTCTGTGAACAAGCTCTGATATCGTGTGTAATTTTCTCAAGAAATGGAAAAGTATAATTTTCCCAATTCTTCAATAATTGTTTTATACTAGTGAATAAAACGAAGGATGTAGGTGTAGGTGTGCGTGTAGATCTTGAAGTCATCTCTTATTCCACATCCAAGCCTATTAGAAGCTCTGGTATTCGCTGTTTTGTTAGCTTTCTAAGAGTAGAGTTTGTGTTTTCATAACTATAACTTTCGGTGAAATGTAAGTATTGTAAAAATTACTGGTTTATGTGTAAGGGTTACGTCAATCAACGCTATCGATAGCAAATGTTGAATATCCTCAATCAAAACTTTATTGAACTTATCTTCTGATTAGTAAAAATGTCTTTTTTCCATGTCTTCTCATCTTTTCTTATTTGCAGTTATTCTTCACATTCAGATTTAATCTTATCGCTAGTCTAATAGCGTAAGAAATCAAAAATACGGACGTAATAAGTGACAATAAAGTGTGCGAGTTTCGTTTTGAGTGGTGGCAAGCGTTTTTGCTTCATATTTATCATCGACGAAATTACTTGTCTTTTTCCACTTACCTATATTTACGTGAATCAATCGAGCATGATATTTTTATCGGGTAGGCAGTTTTTTTTCTTGAGTAGACTCGTCATCATATGTATTTCGCTCTTTCATTCTTTCTTTTTTTCTTGTTTATCTTCGTGTTGTGTCTTGTGACGATGCAAAGATATTCACTGATATTTGTATGTACAAGCGCATTACACTTAGACTTTTAAAATTTTTCTCTTATGACGGTACGCGTGAATGCGGGTGTCGGTATGGATGTGAGTGATAGTATGGTGGCGATGAGCAAAACACCAATATTGAAAAACTCACACTAACTCTCCTACATTCACACCCAACCACGCACTCACACGTATGATTCACCGCACCCACACTCACCCACGTACACCCACGCCTATACTCACCTACTCCCACACCCAATCTCAACACACAAGCAAGCCAGCATGCAAACTCATTACTTTTTATATCATTCTACCTTTAGTCGAGGGAATTATCAAAAGGTCTAATAAGCTGAAGATCAAAAAGTTCGCTTTTGATAGGTTAGCTCTCTAATCCATGATAAACTCGGATGTAAATTCGACCTCAGTTTCGAACTCTTGGTCCTCGATAACCTACAGTAAATTTTCGCCGAAAAGTCTAACAGCCGTAAAATGAAAAGCTCCTGTTTGATTGTTCGACTGTCTAGCCAATGAAAAGTCTGGGTGTAAAATCCGACCTCAAATTCAAATTGCCTAACCGTTATGACTTTCGGTCAAGCTTTATAAGAAGCTGCTTTTTCTCTCATATATGAGCAGGTGATTTTACACGTGCTTCGAAACATACAAGCAGACAAACTTATTTTATTTCATATGGCCCACCCTTCACTCAAAGGAACGAATTTATCAAGGCCACTTTTTCGACGTGGTCGAACGTTATGGAATTTCATTTGTTCGTCTCTGATGGGCCACATGGTCGAAATAACAAAAGCAAAGAGTCTGAAAATTCCAGTGTAAATAAGAACCATTTAGATCCAGTATGTGTGAAAATTTCGTTCATTACGTTTGTGTCAAACAGAGTTATTCTCGAAGTAGTGACCATAATAGAATTAGAAAAAGATGAAATTGCAGATGTGAGTGTCAGTTCGGGCGATCTCATCAATCACAGCTACAATCACATCCATATCCCCCACACTTCCACACTAATACCTAGACACTCGCACCTCGAGAATTCATGAAAATAAAACTTGAACCCTATGATGAGCCCCTCGAGGGAGAACGAAACAGATTACAGTTGCTCTCTACACACCCACATCCATCCTCAAGGATGTTCCTATCGACTGTGGGGGTGTGTACATCTTTATTATTGAAAAATAAAATCA